TTTTCTAGTAGTAGGATTGGGAGTGGCATTAGCAAGCTAGAGAGTGTCACTAGCAAGCTAGAGAGTGTTACTAGCAATTGGGCCTAGAGGTGGGCCTAGGCAAAATTTTACATATTGGACTCATTTTACTCCTAATTTTTCATAGATTTGATTTAGCTAGGTTCCATTCACATTGGATGAACCTAACTAAACCAAATCAACATTTTCAAAACCGGTTGGAGTAAAATAAAGTCCAAAGAGCCGCCCACCTTGGCTTGTGTTCACATTGGCCGAATTGCTTGTCTCCTCTCAAGCTTAGAAGCTTGAAGCACAAGCTTCTCCTTAGCTTGCTTACCAAGCAAGCTAAGTGAGTAGCTTGCTCTCCAAGCCTCTAGACCATGGAAGGTTAGCTAGACCTTACCATGGTTCCTAGTGAACCATGGTTAAGGATAGCTTGCTCTCCAAGCTTCCTACTCCTATATATTTGTTTTTCCTTCTTTGTAAAATACTTTTGGCATATATTTGAGAGATAATTTAGAGATTGTTCAGATTTCTCTCTTCTAAAAGTCCCTAAACCTCTTTGATATTCATCCAATTCTCTTATCCCTTCAGTAAAAGAGTGTGGTGAGAATTGAAGAGACTTATCTCTTCATCAAGGAGTGGCGTCTCTTGGGAGAGTTCTCCACCAAACCGTGGTGGTTCTAAGGTCTTCCAGACATGTCTGGTTTGCCCAATTTGACAGAATTATGTCTTGCTGAATGCACAAATTTGATTAAAATTCATGATTCAGTAGGGTTTTTACATAATCTTCAATTGTTTTGTAGTAATCTCTTGAACATCTTTGCATTAAGGATTGCAGTAATCCCACGTCGCATAAAGTTGACATCTCTTGAACATCTTTGCATTAAGGATTGCAGTAATCTTGTTATGTTGCCCGAAATATTGGCACCAATGCAGAAACTAAAATATGTTGACTTGGAAGGAACTTCCATAAAAAATCTGCCACGTTCAATTCAGAATCTTAAAGGCCTTCAAATCTTATCCATGAATAGATGCAAAATGCTTGAAGTTAATGGGCGTTCCAATGTCGTTCAAATGCTGCCAAAATTATTTCCCTATTTGAAAGAATTATTGTTAAATGAATCAAGTTTGACAATAATTCCTGCATGCATTGAAGAGTGTCACTCCTTGGATAAAAATATCATTTATCTTTATTTACTTATTTAATGTAATAAAAATAATTGATTCCTAATGAGTAACATAATAAATATCCATAAAAACTTTTATGACCAACCAAATTCATTTTAATAATTTCTAAAAATCATGATTTTCGAGATTTATAATTTTTACGAATTATGGTTCTCGAACATGAAAAAAAATTTCTTCTACTAAACATCCCCTTAATTGTTTGATAAATACCTCACTAAATACTTCGCTGACACTCACTAAGACATTACATTAACAACTCTTAATTATTTAAAAAATATTGTATTAGATTTGAATAAGAAATAAAAGTTAAAATATATAGGAAAATTATAATTATTGTTTAATGATAATGAAATTATGTATTTTCAAACCTAATATTAAAGTGTAATATTAAATGTTTAGTAATAAAGAATATATAATATCAAATAAATTTATTTTAATGAAACTAATTTATATTAAATATTCTTATTATATGTCATAATATTACATACCTTTCATATGTCAAAAAAAAAAAGACTAAATTATATACAATTAAATACCTCCTTAAAGTTTCATGATATTGCATTTACAATTCCTACTTTTTTTATCCATACATTAATTCTTTAGGATACTGTTGGTACAAAGATTGTTTTTGTTTGTTTTTTCCAGAATTTAAAATTAGAAAAATTAGTTTTTCATGTTTGGTTAGTTAATTATAAAATAATATCTCTACAAAACATTATTTTCTGTGAATGTTTCTTATTTATGTTTTTCATGAAATTATTCCTATCTAATAGATGAGAATCTAACATTTTCAAGTTAAATAAAAAGTTTTATTCAAATAAAAATATCATTTATCTTTATTTACTTATTTAATGTAATAAAAATAATTGATTCCTAATGAGTAACATAATAAATATCCATAAAAACTTTTATGACCAACCAAATTCATTTTAATAATTTCTAAAAATCATGATTTTCGAGATTTATAATTTTTACGAATTATGGTTCTCGAACATGAAAAAAAATTTCTTCTACTAAACATCCCCTTAATTGTTTGATAAATACCTCACTAAATACTTCGCTGACACTCACTAAGACATTACATTAACAACTCTTAATTATTTAAAAAATATTGTATTAGAATCCCATATTAGGGAGGTTGATGTAAATTTTGAAAAAGGAAATTATGTGCAATTTCTCGAAACCTTGAGGAGTATCAATCTTATTTACTCAAAAGCATATGACACTAAATTTGTTTCTAATTATGACGTGGAAACAAACTATAAATTGGGTGCATTAATTTAATTTCACTTGTATTAATGACAGAGGAGAATATGAGTTTGAGATCATTAAAAAGATCACAGAAGAGATCTCCAATAAACTTAATCGACATCTCTTGCATATTGCCTGTTATCCTGTTGGATTGCAAGCTCGGGTGCAACGTATACAAGAACTTATGAATGCTCAGTTTGATAACAAAGTGATCATGCTTGGGATTCATGGAATGGGTGGAATAGGAAAATCAACGCTTGCCCGTGCTATATATAATTTGAGAGCAAATCAATTTGAAAGTTCTTGCTTTCTTGCTAATGTTAGAGAAAAGTCAATTAAGCATGGTCTAGTGCATATTCAAGAGACAATACTTTCTGAATTAGTTGAGTGAAGAGATATCAAGTTGGGAGATGTACATCGAGGAATTCCAACACTACAAAAAAGACTCTGTCGAAAGAAAGTCCTTCTTGTGGTTGATGATATTGACAAAAAAGAACAATTACAAGCAACTGCTGGAGGACTGAATTGGTTTGGCCCTGGTAGTATCATCATTATAACAACAAGGGATAAACGTTTGTTAGATACTCATGAAATCAAAAACTTATACGAGGTTGAAAAATAGAATGATATTCAATCTCTTGAATTGTTTAGTTGGAATGCTTTTAAAAACAACAAAGGCGACCCAAATAAAATGGAACTCATAAAGCGTGCATTATATTGTGCCGGTGGCCTTCCTTTGGCTTTGGAAATAATAGGCTCAAACTTTGTGGATAAAACATTAGATGAAGAATGGGATTCTGTGTTAAAAACATATGAGAGATTTCCAAATAGAGATATTCAGGAAATTCTTAGAGTTAGCTATGATAGTTTGGATACTAATGAGAGAGAAATATTTCTTGACATAGCTTGCTTCTTTAGTGGATACACTCTAAGAAAAATCTAGAGGCAAGAGGCTTTCAACCAAAATTTGGTATTAGAGTGCTTCAAGAAAAATCTCTGATAAATATTGATTTATTTTCTGGAAATTGTGACGATCAAATTGTGATAATGCATGACTTGGTTCGATCTATGGGAAAAGAAATGGTTAGAGAACAATCAAATTTGCCAGAGAAAAGAAATAGGTTGTGGTTTTTTTGAGGACATTGTTCGTGCTTTGGACAAAAACACGGTATGTAAGAATCATATATCCATGCATTTCCATTTCTTTTACTACTCATCACTATTAGTTGAATTTGTACAATATTTCATGATTTTTAACCCTTGTTAATAGGAACCAGTACAATGATTATAACAAATAAATTCTAACTTTGTTATTCCATTTGGCTTAACAGGAAAATGAAATTGAAGTCATGATGTTAGACATGCCAAAATATCTAAAAGTTCAATGGAATCAAACGGTGTATAGAAAAATGAAAAATCTACAAATGATGCTCGTAAAAAGTAGTGTTGCCTCTCTTAGAATGCCTAAGGATCTCCCAAACAGTTTGAGGGTGCTGGAATGGTGGGGATACCCTGGAGCTTCTTTACCATCTAATTTTCATTTGAAGAATCTTGTCATACTCAACTTGTCATACAGTTGCTTTCGATGGGACAAACCACTTGAGGCATGTCTAATTATTTATAAGTGATGAAACATTTATAGTTTTTTTGTTATACACTCTAACTTGACACTTGAAGATATTAATGAAGACTTACTATTTTGCAGAATTCGAAGATGTTGAGACAGTTGGTTCTTAAAGGTTGTAAGAACATAAGACGAGTTCCAGACATGTCTGGTTTGCCCAATTTGACAGAATTATGTCTTGCTGAATGCACAAATTTGATTAAAATTCATGATTCAGTAGGGTTTTTACATAATCTTCAATTGTTTTGTAGTAATCTCTTGAACATCTTTGCATTAAGGATTGCAGTAATCCCACGTCGCATAAAGTTGACATCTCTTGAACATCTTTGCATTAAGGATTGCAGTAATCTTGTTATGTTGCCCGAAATATTGGCACCAATGCAGAAACTAAAATATGTTGACTTGGAAGGAACTTCCATAAAAAATCTGCCACGTTCAATTCAGAATCTTAAAGGCCTTCAAATCTTATCCATGAATAGATGCAAAATGCTTGAAGTTAATGGGCGTTCCAATGTCGTTCAAATGCTGCCAAAATTATTTCCCTATTTGAAAGAATTATTGTTAAATGAATCAAGTTTGACAATAATTCCTGCATGCATTGAAGAGTGTCACTCCTTGGATACTCTAAGTCTGTATAACTGCAAGAAGCTTCGAGAAATAAGAGGCCTTCCGCCAAACATGGCTAGACTAGGGGCAGAAAACAGTCTTGTGGAAGTAGATTCATCAACTTTAAACATGTTAGTCAGACGGGTTAGTCTCTCTTCTATAATTGTCTCCACAATTACTTGCTTGAAAAATGCAAACAACGTATCTCAAACTAACACTCTCTCCTGTTGGTAAATTTGCGCGCTTGTTTCTCATTGACTAATTCTCATCACCAAATTAGTAATATGGACATGAATTTCAATTAACAAAAGAGGGTGTGTAATAGTGTGTTGCTAGAGCACTAGTACTCTTCTTAGTTATGTTGTTTTCCAAACTCACAAAATGGCATGTTTGACAGGCAATTAATTCTTCTGGAATAAATACATATGTTTTGCCAGGTCATCGGGTCCCATAATGGTTTGATCACTCTACCTACGGAAACTCTCTATGTTTCTGGTTTCGTAATAAATTGCCATCTTTCACTGTGTGCGGTGTTTTAGGAGTTTGTGAGAATACCGAGCTTCGTTTTATTTTGGAATTAATTTATTTAGTTAGAATCAATGATGTTGACACGTGTGTTGCTTCATTGAATGGTGTGAGACATTTAGCCTGGGGGAAAGTTGAGAAAGACCTTTTAATAATGATCAATCTTGAAAGTTGTTTTCACCATCCAATGGATAACCACAGTAGAAGAACAATTAACACAAATGAGTGGATTTATGGGAATATTTCGTTTGTGACAACACCGATGGAAAATGATGCTAAATGAAATGATATTTGGTCTATCAGATCAAGCAACTAATGATTTTGCTGGAATATTTCATAGTTCTACTGTAAGTAGAGGAGTTCGGGTTGAATCTAACAAACATGATTGTGCATTTCAAACATCTTTTCCAGACATCTCAGATGATGATCTTCGTGAAACTGCATATGAGATCCTCTTGGCTTGTGTCAGAGCCACAGGGTATGCTGTCAATATATGTTTGCTTCAGGGGATGTCTTTTCCTTGTTTATGCGTATTCTGTTCTTTATGTTAAAACTTTGATCTGTTTCTTGTTTATCAGGAGTCTGATTGTCCCATCAAAAGAAAAAAAGAAAGTCTTAGTAAAAGAAATTGTCATTCTTATTGATTGAAG